AAAGGCAGAATCATTAAAGATCGGTTTCCGAAAATGGAGACTTTATTTTTCTAATGCATATTTTTCAAGACCACTTTGTATGTATAAATCAAACAAACGTGTGTGTTTGTGTACACACACACACACACACACAAACACACACATATATATATACATATATATATACGTGTGTGTGATTAATACAAATCGTTCTTAAAGAAAACATTAAAATAGTCTTTGAAATTAATAACGTGTTTGAGATTAATTATGGTTTATTCATTAATTTTATAACAGAATAATTTAATAATACGGAAATTAACATTTTTGTATATTTTGTTAAATGCCGATATTGCGCCTATTATATTTTAACATTTTTTTGTATCCATTTCAAAACAGATTAGGCAGAATTTCTCTATTTTATTTAACAAAGTAGAGAAATCTTTTGTTGAACAAGATTCAGAAATTGCGCCTACGATATTTTCAAATGTTTTTTTCGGATTGACAGATTACTCCTTTTTATATTATCATTGAGAATATTAAACTGTTCTATTATTAAACTAATAGAACAAATATTTCTTCTAAAGCATTTTTTATAAACAATTAAGTAAAATTAAACATATCCGATACTGTTCATGAAAAAATAGCCTTATTTCAGGAAGGATTTGTAATATTGATGAAGATCTTAGGAACATCAACAAATTCAAGTTTAACCCTTGTAATTAGATGCAATAAAATTATAAACAATATTAACTGCGATAGAATGAATACATAAATCCTACAGATAATAATAGTTATTTGAGCTTTATCTATTATGAGAAATTGTTAATAAATATACATATCCCTTAACAGTAGCACCAATCAGAGTTTCATGCACAACGCGATTATCATGTGCTAGGTTACCTAATTTAAATTTTAATAAGAATATCTGGTTAACGCAATGTTTGCGCAGTTTCAATGATTAAAAAAACAGGTAAACTAATTATCAAAGCAAACATGACGGGTAATCATTATAAAATCGATGTAGATAAATACCACAAATCTATTAACAAAGAAGTTCATAAGTTTTATAAAAAAAAAGGCACCTAACAAGTGGGAAAATAAGATCAACATTGAAGGCAAAAAATAGCGACTGAATTAAAAATTGATGATAGGATTTAAAAATTCCATAAACAGCAAAGCTTTCATCATTGTTAAAGACCACAAATTAATTTTCAATGTGATCTTGGACTTGAATACTGGTTATTACAAAACCAAAGATCTATATAACCACATATACAAAGTGTCCAACCATCACGTTTAGAAATATTGGCTTTATTGTTGTGTTGATGGATTTAACAATTTTCTTTTGATTTCTTGATACAGTTGTGTATCAAGTATCAGATCCTCAAACACTAATAGTAATAATATTTCTGAAGCAGGCATTCATAAAATAAATTGCCAAAACTGTTCCTCCGAATATATTGGAGAAACAAGCAGAAATTAAAAAAAAAACAAAAACGCATCTATGAGCACAAAAGGAACCTCACAAAAACAACTAATTGCACTAGTCATAAATAGAAATAAAATTAATCACAATTTTGATTTTAAAAATGATACACTCATAAAAAAATAGCTCACTCAGAAGGAAAATTCTCGAGAGTGCCACTATTGAATATTATCGCAATATTAATCTACGCCTATGCTTTTTCCCAATATCACCTTTCCTAACAGAATTAACTCTCTCCCAAGCCAATGTTGACAACTGTATCAGGAAATCAAAAGAAAATGGTTGTATCCGTCAGCACAACAATAAAAACAATATTTCTACACCTGAAAGTACTTGACGTAATTTTCAGTTGACAAATATAAATACAATAGCATTTTGTAAATTATTCTAGTTGCTAAGGACATTTTGTTTGTTGTTAATAGTTTTTTCAATTTGTTTTCAATAAATTCATTTCGTTTTTGCCTTGAAAAAGTTCACATTGGACGAAACATGTCTGCTAATAATAGAGATTTCCTGTTGTCTATTACCTTTATACATAGTCTATATCCCATGGTCTGAAACTTGTTACCAAAGTCGTTCACCCATTGACTTTCTCAGATTTAGTATTTTCTTCTATGAAAGAAATTTCACATCCACCAGAATAGCATTCGGAAATCAGGTTCAAATTCATTTCTTATAATCTGACTACAAAACATCACAATATCTTCTTTTTTTGAAGTCAGTTTTTAAAGGCGGTTTTCGTCAATAACCTCCAATCTTTATGCCATCCTCCTCAGCCGTGGAAAGAATTGCTTAAAAATTAGTCTTTATTTATTATATTACTAATTTAATTAGACTAAATGAATATATGTTTAGGAATCGGTGTCAAACGCGTAGCCACTTGATTCACAACCCGACATCTTGTACTTTTCAACACGTGCACAGTGTCCCAAAACCTAGAAATTTTGTAGTTTGGCAAATTTGGATTTTTTATAACTTCACATACAGAATAAAGATCGACGAGAAAAACTCAATTTGCACTAAATAAACTTGCATTATAGTCTTTTGAGAATTTTCGACGATCTTCATAGCCCGCTCTTACCTGCTGATCATATTTGCTATTTCCAAAGTTGTTTTTTTTTTTACAACATCCGAAATTAGATTTTACCTTTATCCATCCAGTCAGCATTACAGTAAATTTTAAAGCTCCAAAGTCGCTAAGTGGCTATTAATTTGAGACTTGCAAATATAGTATACTAGCCGAGGTGCCTGGCATTGCCCGGGTGTACATGGCTGCAATTGTATAACTGCACCACTTGTATGCCCGCACCCCTGACTAGAAATCTCTACCTACGTCCCCGCTTGCTTGCATCATCCGTTGGTATATTAAGCTATTCCTTCTCATAGTTATGTTTTTAGCAAGTGTCTGATTGTCCTTAAAAAATGAAGTGTTTTAGATATTCATTAAATTTCCTATGGTTTTAATGACTTTCAAATAGTTCACAAATCTAATAATCAAATAAAAACTGGGATGAAGCGTTAGAGCTTGATTCACTTGTAAGTGCAAACGCATGAACGCCACCCTCCTTCTTCGCGCGTTTACTGTAAAGCTGGCGTTAATAAGAGGTTTTCCAGGAATTTTCCCCTTTTAACGCTTTCTTTTCAAACAATCTTTGTATCAAAGGTTGTTGGAATGCCAATTTAGGATGTAATCATATGAAGACACTTTTGGCAAAATGTCAGATTTCGTCCCCTTAAACCAAACATTCACGCAAGGCAATTTGTGTGTCATATGTAATTTACATGCCAAATTTGGAAAGCGTAGGATGAAACAACAGCGATTTATGACCGAAAAACGGTTTTTTGAATAGTTTTTCATGTTTTGTTTTGTTATACGCGGAGAAGCGGGCGGGACTAAAATCACACTTATTTCTTGCACGATAGCAAATTTTTTGCGACATGAAGAATTTATTCAAGTTTTTATTTTAACTATTACGAAAAGCCCGATTTTTTCATAGTTTTTTGCAACTTTTGTGTGAAGCCAATGTTGCAGGAAAATTATCAAGCAATCGTAACATGAGCTATATTTTGCATTAAATGCATGGAACATCATTTCACCCAGTAAGAATTTTGTTCGCGTGTAACTTTGCCTTGGTTTTTGCAAAAATTCGTACGTACTTCCAGTTTTATCAATTATTTTGCCAAACCCGAGGGGATGTTTTAGATTGAAAAGTTGGTCTTGAAATTTCTTAATAAATTTGCTACATGTGTGTACAATTTCATCGAAATCAGTCGAGAAATGTGGACGTACATAAATAGCATACATATACACACAGACAGGCACACACACAGATACACAGATATCTTCTGTTTTATAGATACAGATTATAACGTTCGTTTACATATGTGCAGATCTAACCGAATTTCATACCAAATGCTCAGTCATTTACTAAAGTAAATTTAGTGATGTCTGTACTATGTTTGATGCATGCTGAATCGGATTTAAATCTGGCAAGCTTGGATGTAATGGAGTGCCTGTTTATCAGTCGAATACGGCTGGAAACAGTTTCATGTCACACACACACGCAGGCATGGACGGAGATGCGGTAACGTGCTAGAAAAAAAACTAAACAAAAAAATAACATTACCGCCAACGTAGATGACAAGCATAAAATATTGAAACATGTCTACAACAGTATCGTTGGTAAGTCCTTGCATATTCTAATAAAACTCATTGCATACCATTACAGAATCTACTAGATACCACGGCACCCTGCTGATATTCTACAATCATTTCTATAATTTTTTGCATGCAAGAACTTGACCGTCTGTCTGAAAACAAACAAAAACAAACAAACAAACAGGAAACGTACTTGTTTAAACTGGTAACAGGGCCCGCACTCATCCACGATTCAATGCACTGTCGATGTGCTCTCAAAGCAGATACTTGCTACACCAAACCCGGCCCAGAAAATATGACTATAAGATTGTGGAAGACGAGTACCAAGTCTCTTCCGCAGACGATTTGATAAACATTCTGCCTTTTATTAAAAAAACAAACAAAAGAAAAACAAACAAAAAAAATCAAACAAAAAAAACAAAACAACTGAAATATTTCGAACATACCAGAAATGATTTAATGAGATCTGAAACTAAAGACATATAATGGATTCCTGGTTATTTTCGATCTGTCTTGGTTTGGTTTCCCAATTCTTTATTCTGCATTGAGCACTGTTCATTTTTGTTAAGGTTAGTGTCTATATTTTGGAGGATTTGTATAAGTAGATATTTACCTCGTTTCCCCACTGAGATGTGATATGACTAGGTTGGGTTTATTGTGGAGAACCAGAGCGCATACACACGGGCTAAGGGCAAATAATCCCCGAGCCTACGCAACCGTCTGTTGCGCTGGAGTCGGTGGCGAGCACCGATCCAACACTATAGTGACATCTATGGGTGCAGTCGGGCAGCTCTTCCCCAGGGCTGGGCACCTCACAGTGTAATTTTCCTTTCATCTTTTTACTGAACATTTTTTTGCAAGTATAAAAAGATATCATCAATCAATTCCGAAGTGTTTTTTTCCTCGGAGAAACACCGAGGTGAAAAATAAAGACGGGGAAAGACCGAGGTGCAAGAGAAAGACAGAGAAATACCGAGGTGCAAGAGAAAGACGGAGAAAGAGCGAGGTGCAAGAGAAAGACCGAGGTGCAGAGAAAGATGGAGAAAGACCGAGGTGAAAGAGAAAGATGGAGAAAGTCCGAGGTGCAAGAGAAAGACGGAGAAAGGCCGAGGCGCAAGAGAAAGACGGAGAAAGACCGAGGTAAAGGAGAAAGATTGAGAAAGACCGAGATGCAAGAGAAAGACGGAGAAAGACCGAGGTGAAGGAGAAAGATTGAGAAAGCCCGAGGCGCAAGAGAAAGAAGGAAAAAGACCGAGATGAAAGAAAAAGAGTGAAAAAGACCGAGATGAAAGAGAAAGACGGAGAAAGACCGAGGTGCAAGAGAAAGACGGAGAAAGACCAAGGTGCAAGAGAAAGACGGAGAAAGACCGAGGTGAAAGAGAAAGACGGAGAAAGACCGAGGTGCAAGAGAAAAAGACGGAGAAAGACGGAGGTGAAAGAGAAAGACGGAGAAAGACCAAGGTGCAAGAGAAAGACGGAGAAAGACCGAGGTGAAAGAGAAAGACGGAGAAAGACCGAGGTGCAAGAGAAAGACGGAGAAAGACCGAGGTGAAAGAGAAAGACGGAGAAAGACCGAGGTGCAAGAGAAAGACGGAGAAAGACCGAGGTGCAAGAGAAAGACGGAGAAAGACCGAGGTGAAAGAGAAAGACGGAGAAAGACCGAGGTGAAAGAGAAAGACGGAGAAAGACCGAGGTGCAAGAGAAAGACGGAGAAAGACCGAGGTGAAAGAGAAAGACGGAGAAAGACCGAGGTGAAAGAGAAAGACGGAGAAAAAGACCGAGGTGCAAGAGAAAGACGGAGAAAGACCGAGGTGCAAGAGAAAGACGGAGAAAGGCCGAGGTGAAAGAGAAAGACGGAGAAAGGCCGAGGTGCAAGAGAAAGACGGAGAAAGACCGAGGTGAAAGAGAAAGACGGAGAAAGACCGAGGTGAAAGAGAAAGACGGAGAAAGACCGAGGTGAAAGAGAAAGACGGAGAAAGACCTAGGTGCAAGACGGCGATAGACCGAGGTGAAAGAGAAAGTTGATGTATGTTTGTGGAATAAAATAATAATATGAAATGTAATCCTCACCACAGTGATTTGAAAGATGACTTCAAATTTTCACATACCGAGCTCTTCCTGGATGTTTTTTCGGTATTTATCTGAGAAAATTTCGGAAATCGAATGTGCCCTTACTTTACTTAAGCTCGTCCCTGAACCAAACGTGCATGATTCTTCAATAAATCCTTTATTGCCGGGCTACGCCGCATTCACCATAATTTCATGCTTATTCACCGAATATCTTCCTAGTTCCTTGCTAATATGTGGAATGTAAATGAGGAAACATTTTTAGTTAAAATAGAAAAAAAAAACATAAACTACTGAAAGTTTTGATTTTTTTCTGGTGTCTTCTTCTTCCTGTTGTTGCTCGATAACAACCCAGTTCTTTTGCCACAATCTCTGTAACTTCAACAAGTATTTCGTTGTAAAACGGCATTAGATTCACTGTTACATCGTCACAGCTACATTATTTCTTTACCTATTACACCATAAATTCTTCGTTCATTTGAACTGATGGAGGAGGCTGAAAACATTCGGTTACCTTTTAAATGTTGCTTCTTCGATTTACATAAAAGGAAAATTATTCTTATTTTTGTTTTAACTCTTATTTAATTCTGATATCGAAATATTTGATTTCGATACTAAATCAGACTGATTTTAGCTTAATGCTTTAATGCACCGCCTATGAACATACACACACATTTTTAACAATCTCCTTTCGTGAATATTAATTATATATACTGTGAGTATTATACAGTAAACATTTCAGATCCGAATTCTTTGATGAATCATGATGTGTATGCAAATATGAGTAAGTGTCCCTATATGTATGTGCTTGCATGTGTATTCGTACTTGTGTTCGAGTGTGTTTTTGTCGACATATTCACTTGTGAATGAAAACATGTACAAACGGTTGTGCGTTGCAAGAAGGTAATCAATCACTTTCTACTAAAGCTCATTCCAATAACTTGCCAATATCGATCTCTCCCTAATCATTAGATATTTCGCCAATTCAAATATTTGGGACATTTTCTACTCCACCGCTTTTATACTTTGTCTGGATTTCAAACTATAAATAACTTCTGGATATTTGCCTAGAACAAATGAAGCCTCTAACGGACAAAAATAGAGAAAAATGAAGAAAATTCCAGAAACAATCCATTAGAAAAGCCAGGGTGAGTGGATTGAAACGACAATTCTAGATTTGATTCATTCACTTCCATAATCACACGAAGGAAGTTGATTTTCTTTGAAAGTTTCTATTTTTCTCTTCGGTTTGATTTGAATCATTTTAAGTTAATTTTAACTTTGATGAAGACGGGAAATCAGGTTTTAATGCTTTTTAGCTATTTCAGGTTTGGCCGATTTTTCACAATGAAAGAAACAACGGTAAAGGAACCGAATCATTTTCTTCGTTTATTTTGAGAGATTGCTTAAAGACCGACGCTTTCTTTTTCCCTCTTTTTGACCGATGCACGCAAAAACAAATAGAATTTCCCTATTTCCAGATTTCTAAACAAATATATGGATATATGACGATATTACGGTATCGACATAGAAATTGAGAATTATATTTAATGGGTTAAAACGTGATTTTAAAGTGTCTTAGAACATTTTATTGTTAAAGAAATTTTCATCTTATAAAAACACGAAAACACATGCAGACCAGTAAGTAAGTTTGTTATGCTGCAACAAAAGAGTACACGGCTCCTTTTAAGAATATTAAACTTTTAATGAATAAAGGAATGACGAAATTTCAATTTTAGCATTTTATCGTTTGAATGAAATTTTAACAAAAAATAGGTTTTCTGCTAATGTCGAGCCTAGTTAGCACCTAGTTGGGTTACTGCTTTGGGATATCAGGTGTTGTAAAGGCTGGATATGCGAGTGGTGTAATGTCTAGGAATTGTTAACCTAATTCAAGTTAGGATGGTTATATTAACTTATGCGCAAAGAACCTTTGGAAAGGTAGGAGATCACTTCTATGGGTTAAGTATTAAGACTTGTATCACTAAACCATTATATTAAAAAAAATCACATGACGTATAAATAAGCGATATTTAAAAAATGAAAATCCCGAACGCACCCACACATACATACTTACACACACATTTTAATAATTGGTTATGAAATCCTAAAGTATTCAAACTTCTGGTTTGTTTTTCTTTTCTTGCCTCTGGATTGTTTGTTTCTTCCTCCATTTTTTAAAAATCTTATTCCTCAGCTTTTCTTCTTCGTATTCAAGTCTATCATTTTTTTCTCTGCCTTTATCTTTACTTATATTTCTTATTTCCAGGTGGATTCAGTGGCCGATGTTCAAGACCAGGTAACAGCTATGACTTTCAAGACCAATCCATACAAAATAGTATTTCCATTCGACTATTTAACATTATTATTATTAACTAGCAGTAGAGCCTGGACTTTCCCGGGGATGTAACAGTAAGAGATAGATCAAGTATCGACCATCATAAAGACTGAAAAATAAAATTGACAAAGATTATTGTTGAAGGTTGACGGACACGCATGTCTTAATTAGTTTATTTTTTTTTTTTTTACGAATTGGTCAAACCCAAACTCAAACAAAAACATTGTTTTCAATCATTATGAGTCCACCGATTGAATAGAATTTTATTATAGACAATTGTCTTGTAAATGGGATTTTTAAAGCATTCTGAATGTAAAAATAAAAAAAAAGTGTGCAAGACAATAAGAAACACTACCTGCCAAAAGAAAAGTGAAGTTTTGTTGAAATCGGTTGAAAAATGTAGGAAATCCGATCCCATATATAAATGAACACACACACACACACACACAAAGAACCTGGGTTTTATAATAAGTATAACTCGATATGAGTTGTCCCCCTTTCATTCTCGCAACAGCGATGCATCTTAATCGTGTTTTCAAATTGATTTCGTGCAAAAACAATTGTTTTTCCAATTTTTGGCGCAAGGTAATTTTACGTAGTCCTGTGAAGTTTTGTTGAAATCGGTTGAAAGATGTAGGAAATCCGTTCCAATATATAAACGAACAGACACACACACAACCTGGGTTTTATAATAAGTACGATGACAAAGAGCAGAACGCCAACAAAGTGAAATTGTGGCACACATAAATGAAACGCAAACAAAACTTACTTGAACAAAAGTTTGTGGCGTTTTTCCAATAGTTGACTGACTCAAATTTGACATGTATATATACATATTCACCATATATATAACGTTTCATTCCAAATCGTTTCGCATGTGAATTGTGAATTTTAAATGCTTTTACTTTAAAAGTGAAACTGGAGGGAAATAAGATGCATTTTCTTCATCTGATTCGCGTTAATTTCCGGAAATGAAAAAAAAAAACGCTTTCCAAACAATAAAATATATGTTCATTTATAGAGATGAAAGAGAAAAGGGCCTGCAGTCGTTGAAGTCACACCACCGTGGACATCGAAGAGATACTCCTTATACTCATAAAATCGTTGTAAGGCATTTGAAAACACATAGATACGTGAATCATGAAGATGTTTCGGTGGCTTAGATTTGTGTTTCCCCAGTCAAACAAGAACAACCCATTATAAAAATGACGATATAGTTATTTAAGAAAACTTGGTGGTGAAAAAGATCTTGGGTAAAACGCAATAGGCCAATGTATTTGAAGAAGGCGATGGTCTACATCTGGCTGAATCTATGTGCAAATTTTGGTTCGATCCAATAAAATGAAGACATCAAAATATAACATGCACATGCATTCCAATGAAATATGAATGTTGTGAGGGAGAATATTTCCTTACAAGTTTGGATTCGGCCGTCGGGCGAAAGACATAAAAATACACTTAGCTCAAGATGAGTAGCAGGACGAGCAGTAGCAGCAGTAGCTGAAAACAGTTAGTCCATCACAGCTAAACATTCTCATCTCTAGTTTCCATTCTACATAATGTTCCCTGTAACAAAAGGTAATAAACTTGTTAAACAAATTCCGGTTTTCTACTGTTTTGTTTTTGATAACTCAGCAGGCCCTAGTGTAGTCATATATATATATATATATATATATATATATATGTATGTATGATGACTACACTATCAAATATACATATTTGTATGCCGACTAACAAAATTATTCAATTAGATAATATTTGGTGTTGTCTTACTTATCATGTTAGATATGTTTCAATTAAGAGTGGATTATTTGCTCACTTTGTAATAGGTTTGGTTTGTATTGATGGCGGAAATATTTTCTATTTGACGATAAACAATATTTGACTTTAAAACAATACGGTATTAAATTAATCGCCAGAAAAATACAAAGTGTGATAGAAATACTTTCTGCATAATTAGTGGCGTTGGTGTTTTAATCGAAAAATAATAAGAAGAAAGAAAAATGTGTACATTTTGCGTTGAAGGAAGTTGTTAAGAAACGACCTCATTGAAACCGCCATCGCGGTTATAAGGCAAAGAAAAATATTGGAGCAATACTAAAGAATTGAAAAGTAAACGAGACCTAAAACAAAAAGTAAGTTCAAATCAGGTATGTTAAATCAAAATCTACTGGGTTGCTAACACCATAACTTTTTTTTTAACCAATAATACTAACGGAAATTCTGTAAATGTTGAACAAAAGAAAATCAAAACATACATAAATATTTCCCCTTCTCCATTTTCTGTGTCATATCTGTCGGCTTTGAAATGTCGAGAACGCTCCGCTGTCAAGCGAAAGCCATAATAAACAGAGTAAACATTTGAAGAAAAATAGGCCGACATGCTATACGCAATATAATTTGATTGCTTAACTATTATTCTCCTCGAAAATAGTTTGTGCTGCCTTAAGTCAGTTTTAGTTATCGTTTATGTTAGACTTATTTTCTACTTTATGATTTTAATTTGAATTGCATTTTTTTTTCTAAAATAACTAAATAAATAACAAGCGGAAAGTTTACATTGAATAAGCATTTCTGGAACCTTTTATCCAACTTTATACTCTGCCAGAAAATATTTATGGCGGTAAAACGATTGTATGCGTGCATTTTATTCTGTAAACAAAAAGCAATGCAGATTATTTGTGCTCTTGACTAATTTCCGTTCTACATAGATGGGCTCCATTTCTTTTACCATTTATTTATGTTCTAAGTTGCAATTGATTTAGGTGCCGCACCCATTACAGTCTCTGAAGTTTTTTTTTATAGTTGCACTAGTTGAGTACGTAATTTTGAAGGATGTATTTTATATTTCAAAATTATTTTTTAGGCATCGAAAATGAAGAAAACTCGAAAAAAAAAACCTCCCAGAAAGTAACAATCTCTTTTATTGCAGTCGTTATCAATCATATAAAAGAAAACATTTCAGATATTGTTGTTCTATTACCTTACTACTATGGCCTTTTGTCTCTGACCAAATTATGCTTAATTGAATACAGTCGTATTTTTTTTAATGCAAGTCAATGTTTTCACAAATGAATTGGCACAAGACGATTGATGTTGGTAAAAAATGAATGTTTATATGATGATTATATAATGATTTAGGCAAAAGAATTAACAAGAAAATATATTTGTTTTTATAACTGAATCCAAAATATGTCAACAACGTGCTTGCTTCTTCTCATCTACATTGCTGTTATTAGGAGACCGTGGACAAAATGCACCAACGCCATCCACTAACCTAATTTCCCTCAGTACAATCTTGTATTCCATCATTGTTCTCTTTTGTCAATGCTCAGCTATCATCAGTTCAGCAACAACTTTGTCTTCCACTCCATAAACTACCATCGATAAGTCTTTCCAGGATGTGAGTGCAGATGTTCTGGGCCTTGATGACATATCCAAATTATTGTAGTTTTCTGTTCTATATAGTAGATTCCCGTCTCCCTAAAGACAGCATTTAGATTGACACGAATATGATCATAACTTTTAAAGGAACTTGTAATTGCACGCCTTCAGTATTAGCTTAAAATATTTCTCTACGTCTCTCTCGTCGATTTTCAAGTCCTCTTTCCATAAAAGATCGCACTTCTAGTCCAAACATCAGATTATATTAATCGCTAATAATTACTGATAATCATTTTTCAATAATAATGTAATGTAATATTGTAATGCAATATAATACATTTTTCTAATCCGTTTCATTCAAGCTTTAACCAAAAGAATACTGTAAGCCAAGCAGTCCAACAACATGTATCTCCTGTCCGCTACAGCAGTCGCACCACAATTTGTTGAGTTTTAAAGCACTTTTTATAGACTGAGAGACAGTTCAAATTTGCATAAGTTAAGAGAGTCTCGCTAAAAACTACATGACACCCAGATCTATATTGATTTAAATATATGACTCGTAAAGCGATCATTTTTTTTACAGATTTTACATGAGAGACAAGACCGAATCCGTTTATGACCAGGAGCATTAATACTTTCTCTAGTTTTATATTTTGCTTTAGCTAATTTTGTAACTTTCAAGCCTGTAGACAATGTTCTTCGTTTTTGGCATTATCGTGTCAGTATCTATTCACTAACTTCAACAAATACTTTTTGATGGTCAAATATTTTATTAATATTCATCATTTTCTAAATTTTCCATTTTCCAATCCTTAAAATATTAGACTGCATCCGGTGTTCCCGAGAGGGGAGCAATGTAAGAAATGGAAAGGAGTGTTCCCGAGATGTGAACAATGTAAATAATGGACTGTAACTGGTGTTCCCGAGAGGTGACCAATGTAAATAATAGACTGCATCAGGTGTTCCCGAGAGGTGACCAATGTAAATAATAGACTGCATCAGGTGTTCCGAGAGGTGACCAATGTAAATAATAGACTGCATCAGGTGTTCCCGAAATGTAAATAATAGACTGCATCAGAGGTGACCAATGTAAATAATAGACTGCATCCCCGAGAGGTGACCAATGTAAATAATAGACTGCATCAGGTGTTCCCGAGAGGTGAACAATGTAAATAATAGACTGCATCCGGTGTTCCCCGTGACCAATGTAAATAATAGACTGCATCGGGTGTTCCCGAGAGGTGACCAATGTAAATAATAGACTGCATCGGGTGTTCCCGAGAGGTGACCAATGTAAATAATAGACTGCATCCGGTGTTCATGAACAATGTAAATAATAGACTGCATCAGGTGTTCCCGAGAGGTGACCAATGTAAATAATAGACTGCATCAGGTGTTCGAGAGGTGACCAATGTAAATTAGACTGCATCGGTGTTCGAGAGGTGACCAATGTAAATAATAGACTGCATCCGGTGTTCCCAAGAGGTGAGCAATGTAAATAATAGACTGCATCGGGTGTTCTGCATCTGCATCAGGTGTTCCTGAGAGGTGACCAATGTAAATAATAGACTGCATCAGGTGTTCCCGAGAGGTGACCAATGTAAATAATAGACTGCATCCGGTGTTCACGAAATAATAGAGGTGAACAATGTAAATAATAGATGCATCAGGTGTTCCCGAGGGTGAATAATAAATAATAGACTGCATCCGGTGTTCACGAGACTGCATCCGGTGTTCACCCAGTGAACAATGTAAATAATAGACTGCATCGGGTGTTCCCGAGAGGTGACCAATGTAAATAATAGACTGCATCGGGTGTTCCCGAGAGGTGACCAATGTAAATAATAGACTGCATCCGGTGTTCACGAGAGGTGAACAATGTAAATAATAGACTGCATCGGGTGTTCCCGAGAGGTGACCAATGTAAATAATAGACTGCATCGGGTCCCCAGAGGTGACCAATGTAAATAATAGACTGCATCAGGTGTTCCTCGAGAGGTGACCAATGTAAATAATAGACTGCATCAGGTGTTCCCGAGAGGTGACCAATGTAAATAATAGACTGCATCCAATGACCAAATAAATAATAGACTGCATCAGGTGTTCCCGAGAGGTGACCAATGTAAATAATAGACTGCATCCGGTGTTCCCCAGAGGTGTGTAAATAATAGACTGCACCGGGTGTTCCCGAGGGTGACCAATGTAAATAATAACTGCATCACTGTTCATCCAATGTAAATAATAGACTGCATCAGGTGTTCCCGAGGTGACCAATGTAAATAATAGACTGCATCAGGTGTTCCCGAGAGGTGACCAATGTAAATAATAGACTGCATCCGGTGTTCAAATGTAAATAATAGACTGCATCGGGTGTTCCCGAGAGGTGAACAATGTAAATAAGGTGAGAATGTAAATAATAGACTGCATCCGAGAGGTGTTCAAATAATAGACTGCATCGGGTGTTCCTGAGAGGTGATGTAAATAATAGACTGCATCAGGTGTTCCCGAGAGGTGACCAATGTAAATAATAGACTGCATCCGGTGTTCCCAATGTAAATAATAGACTGATCGGGTGTTCCCGAGGTGACAATGTAAATAATAGACTGCATCAGGTGTTCCCCAATGAAATAATAGACTGCATCGTTCCAATGGTGAAATAAATAATAGACTGCATCAGGTGTTCCCGAGAGGTGACCAATGTAAATAATAGACTGCATCAGGTGTTCCCGAGGTGACCAAATGGATGGTGTTCAAGAGGTGAACAATGTAAATAATAGACTGCATCGGTGTTTGAGAGGTGACCAATGTAAATAATTAGATGCATCCGGTGTTCATCCGGGTGAACAATGTAAATAATAGACTGCATCGGGTGTTCCCGAGAGGTGACCAATGTAAATAATAGACTGCATCGGGTGTTCCCGAGAGGTGACCAATGTAAATAATAGACTGCATCGGTAATGTAAATAATAGACTGCATCCGGTGTTCACGAGAGGTGAACAATGTAAATAATAGACTGCATCATCAGGTGTTCCTGCATCAGGTGTTCCTTGAGAGGTGACCAATGTAAATAATAGACTGCATCAGGTGTTCCCGAGAGGTGACCAATGTAAATAATAGACTGCATCAGGTGTTCCCGAGAGGTGACCAATGTAAATAATAGACTCCGCATCAATGGTGTGTTCCCGAGAGGTGACCAATGTAAATAATAGACTGCATCGGGTGTTCCAGAGGTGACCAATGTAAATAATAGACTGCATCAGGTGTTCCCGAGAGGTGACCAATGTAAATAATAGACTGCATCCGGTGTTCACGAGAGGTGATAATAGACAATGGTGTTCCCAAGAGGTGACCAATAAATAATAGACTGCATCCGGTGTTCCCCAGAGGTGAGCAATGTAAATAATAGACTGCATCAGGTGTTCCCGAGAGGTGACCAATGTAAATAGACTGCATCAGGTGTTCCCGAGAGGTGACCAATGTAAATAATAGACTGCATCAGGTGTTCCTGAGAGGTGACCAATGTAAATAATAGACTGCATCCGACGAAGGTGAACAATGTAAATAATAGACTGCATCCGGGTGTGTAAATAATAGACTGCATCGGGTGTTCCTGAGAGGTGACCAATGTAAATAATAGACTGCATCAGGTGTTCCTGAGAGGTGACCAATGTAAATAATAGACTGCATCAGGTGTTCCCGAGGGTGACCAATGTAAATAATAGACTGCATCCGGTGTTCAATAATAGATTGCATCCGGTGTGAACAATGTAAATAATAGACTGCATCAGGTGTTCCCGAGAGGTGACCAATGTAAATAATAGACTGCATCAGGTGTTCCAATGTAAATAATAGACTGCATCCGGTGTTCAGGTGACCAATGTAAATAATAGACTGCATCCGGTGTTCCCGAGAGGTGACCGACTGCATCGGTGTTCCCGAGAGGTGACCAATGTAAATAATAGACTGCATCAATGTTCCCGAGAAATAATGTAAATAATAGACTGCATCAGGTGTTCCCCAGAGGTGACCAATGTAAATAATAGACTGCATCTGTCCCACCAATGTAAATAATAGACTGCATCAGGTGTTCCTGAGAGGTGACCAATGTAAATAATAGACTGCATCAGGTGTTCCCGAGAGGTGACCAATGTAAATAATAGACTGCATCAGGTGTTCCCGAGAGGTGACCAATGTAAATAATAGATCGCATCAGGTGTTCCCGAGAGGTAAATGTAAATAATAGACTGCATCAGGTGTTCCCGAGAGGTGACCAATGTAAATAATAGACTGCCAATGTAAATAATAGACTGCATCGGTGTTCAGGGTGACCAATGTAAATAATAGACTGCATCGGGTGTTCCTGAGAGGTGACCAATGTAAATAATAGACTGCATCCGGTGTTCCCGAGAGGTGACCAATGTAAATAATAGACTGCATCAGGTAAATAATAGTTCATCCGGTGTTCCCGAGGGTGACCAATGTAAATAATAGACTGTTCATCCAATGTAAATAATTAGACTGCATCCGGTGTTCACGAGGTGTAAATAATAGACTGCATCGGTGTTCCCCGAGGTGACCAATGTAAATAATAGACTGCATCAGGTGACCAATGTTAATAGACTGCATCCGGTGTTCACGAGAGGTGACCAATGTAAATAATAGACTGCATCGGGTGTTCCCGAGAGGTGACCAATGTAAATAATAGACTGCATCGGGTGTTCCCAGAGCAAATAATAGACTGCATCGGGTGTTCCCGAGAGGTGACCAATGTAAATAATAGACTGCATCCGGTGTTCACGAGAGGTGAACAATGTAAATAATAGACTGCATCGGGTGTTCCCGAGAGGTGACCAATGTAAATAATAGACTGCATCGGGTGTTCCCGAGAGGTGACCAATGTAAATAATAGACTGCATCGGGTGTTCCCGAGAGGTGACCAATGTAAATAATAGACTGCATCGGGTGTTCCCGAGAGGTGACCAATGTAAATAATAGACTGCATCGGGTGTTCCCGAGAGGTGACCAATGTAAATAATAGACTGCATCGGGTGTTCCCGAGAGGTGACCAATGTAAATAATAGACTGCATCGGGTGTTCCCGAGAGGTGACCAATGTAAATAATAGACTGCATCCGGTGTTCACGAGAGGTGAACAATGTAAATAATAGACTGTCCGGTGTTCACGAGAGGTGACCAATGTAAATAATAGACTGCATCAGGTGTTCCCGAGAGGTTGCATCCGGTGTTCACGAGAGGTGAACAATGTAAATAATAGACTGCATCAGGTGTTCCCGAGAGGTGACCAATGTAAATAATAGACTGCAATGACCAATGTAAATAATAGACTGCATCGGGTGTTCCCGAGAGGTGACCAATGTAAATAATAGACTGCATCCGGTGTTCACGAGAGGTGAACAATGTAAATAATAGACTGCATCGGGTGTTCCCGAGAGGTGACCAATGTAAATAATAGACTGCATCGGGTGTTCCCGAGAGGTGACCAATGTAAATAATAGACTGCATCGGGTGTTCCCGAGAGGTGACCAATGTAAATAATAGACTGCATCCGGTGTTTCCCCAGAGGTGAGCAATGTAAATAATAGACTGCATCAGGTGTTCCCAGAGGTGACCAATGTAAATAACTGCATCAGGTGTTTCCGAGAGGTGACCAATGTAAATAATAGACTGCATCCAGGTGTTCACGAGAGGTGAACAATGTAAATAATAGACTGCATCAGGTGTTCCCGAGAGGTGATCAATGTAAATAATAGACTTCAGGTGTTCCCGAGAGGTGACCAATGTAAATAATAGACTGCATCAGGTGTTCCCGAGAGGTGACCAATGTAAATAATAGACTGCATCATCCCCGAGTGTTTAGACTGCATCGAGGAGGTGACCAATGTAAATAATAGACTGCATCCAATGTTCACGAGAAGTGACCAATGTAAATAATAGACTGCATCAGGTGTTCCCGAGAGGTGACCAATGTAAATAATAGACTGCATCCGGTGTTCCCGAGAGATGACCAATGTAAATAATAGACTGCATCAGGTGTTCCCTGTTCCCTGCATCAGGTGTTCCTGAGAAGTGACCAATGTAAATAATAGACTGCATCGGTGTTCCCCGAGGTGACCAATGTAAATAATAGACTGCATCCGGTGTTCACGAGAGGTGAACAATGTAAATAATAGACTGCATCGGGTGTTCCCCGAGGTGACCAATGTAAATAATAGACTGCATCAGGTGTTCCCGAGAGGTGACCAATGTAAATAGACTGCATCGGGTGTTCCCGAGAGGTGACCAATGTAAATAATAGACTGCATCGGGTGTTCCCGAGAGGTGACCAATGTAAATAATAGATGTTCCTGAGAGGTGACCAATGTAAATAATAGACTGCATCCGGTGTTCACGAGAGGTGAACAATGTAAATAATAGACTGCATCGGGTGTTCCCGAGAGGTGACCAATGTAAATAATAGACTGCATCCGGTGTTCCCCAGAGGTGAGCAATGTAAATAATAGACTGCATCGGGTGTTCCCGAGAGGTGACCAATGTAAATAATAGACTGCATCGGGTGTTCCCGAGAGGTGACCAATGTAAATAATAGACTGCATCCGGTGTTCCCGAGAGGTGACCAATGTAAATAATAGACTGCATCGGGTGTTCCCGAGAGGTGGCCAATGTAAATAATAGACTGCATCCGATGTTCACGAGAGGTGAACAATGTAAATAATAGACTGCATCGGGTGTTCCCGAGAGGTGACCAATGTAAATAATAGACTGCATCCGGTGTTCACGAGAGGTGACCAATGTAAATAATAGACTGCATCCGGTGTTCACGAGAGGTGACCAATGTAAATTATAGAGTGCATCCTTTGTTCCCGATAGGTGAGCTATGTAAAAAATTGAGTGCACCCGGCGTTCCCCACAGGTGAGCAATGTACATAATAGACTGCACCCGGTGTTTCCCAGTGGTGAGCAATGTAAATAATAGTGTGCATCCGTTGTTTCCCAGAGGAGATCAATGTAAATAACAGAGTGCATCCGGTGTTTCCTAGAGGTGAACAATGTAAATAATAGAATGCACCCGGTGTTCCCCAGAGGTGAACAATGTAAATAATAGAATGCACCCTGTGTTCCCCAGAGGTGAACAATGTAAATAATAGAATGCACCCGGTGTTCCCCAGAGGTGAACAATGTAAATAATAGAATGCACCCGGTGTTCCCCAGAGGTGAACAATGTAAATAATATAATGGACCCGGTGTTCCCCAGAGGTGAACAATGTAAATAATAGAATGCACCCGGTGTCCCCAGAGGTGAACAATGTAAATAATAGAATGCACCCGGTGTTCCTGAGAGTTGATCAATGTAAATAATTGAGTGCACTCGGTGTTCCCCAGAGGTGAGCAATGTTAATAGTAGTGTGCACCCGGTTTCCTCAGAGGTGAGAAATGTAAATAATTGAGTGCACCCGGTGTTCCTCAGAGGTGAACAATGTCAATAATAGTGTGCATCCGATGTTCCCGGGAGGTGACCAATGTCAATAATAGTGTGCATCCGGTGTTCCCCAGAGTTGAGCAATGTAAATAATGGGCAACTCCCGGTGTTCACGAAAGGTGACAAATGTAAATAATTCACTCCATTCCTTGTTCCCTAGAGGTGACCAATGTAAATAATGTACTATTCCCGGTGTTCACTCGATGTCACCAATGTAAATAATGGACTGCTCCCGGTGTTCACGGCAGTCGACCAATGTTTAATAATGGACTGTTCCCGGTGTTCACGAGAGGTGACCAATGTAAATCATGGACTTCATCCTGTGTTCCCGAGATGTGTCCAATGTAAAAAATGGACTGAATCTGGTGTTCCCGAGAGGTGACCGATGTAAATAATGGACTGAAGCTGGTGTTCCCGAGTTATCACCAATGTAAATAATAGATTGCATCCGGTGTTTCCCGAGAGGCGACCAATGTAAATAATGAACTGCAACCGGTTTTCCCGAGAGGTGTCGAATGTAAATAATGGACTCCAATTGGTGTTCCCTAGAGGTGACCAATGTAATAAATGTCTGTCCACGGTGTTCACAAGAGGTGACCAATGTAATCAATGGACTGCATCCCGTGTTCCCTTCATTTGACCAATATAAATAATCCACTGCACCCGGTGTTCACAATAGGTGACCAATGAAAATAATGCACTGCACGAGAGGTCGGCAATGTAAACAATGGGGTGCATCCCGTGTTCCCGAGATGTGATAAATGTAAATAATGGGCTGTATTCTGTGTTCTCGAGGTGTGACCAATACAAGAAATGGACTGCATTCGGCGTTCCCGAGAGTTGATCAATATTTATAATGGACTGTAACCAGTGTTCCCGTGAGGTGACCAATGTCAATAATGGACTGCACCCGAGGTTCTCGAGAGTTAACCAATGTAAGTAATGCATTGCATCCGGTGTTCCCGAGAGGTGACCTATGTAATAATGCCTTGCATTTGGTGTTCCTAAATTTCCCCACTACATTGGGTTCAAATTTGCTGTAATTTACTCTCGACTTAATATTTCTCGGGACCGATCTCACAAAGTGAGAAAGACTGGCTACCTAAACGATCATTTGAATTTTGACGAAATACGAAACTACTTTTTTTATTCGAGGAAGAATAAAATATGAATATGCTGCATATGTATACCAATGAATGTAAGGTCTTTTATGTATGTAAATCTTTCTGAAATATAAGAACGAAACAAGTTCTAAAGTCGTCTGTGAAGCCATTCGTATGTTAATGTTTTTTCTGGCCCGTATCTAAGCTTTTCTTTTTATTAAAGAAGGCAGTTCTAATCATTAACTGCTGTTGTATTTATGTTGAACTGCGTATAATTTTTCATGCAAGATAGTATTAATGTTTGCCTCTTAACGTTATTGCATTGGACGAAACTTAAACCATATAATTAAGAGAATGAGAATGTTTTGTGGACTGTGATTTTATCTGTTTTTTCTTATACTTAATGTTCAAACGATATGTAGTACCAAGAATCGATTAGTAGAATTGCTA